CTTTCCCACCTCGTATGCAAGCAAGCCTCTCTAGCGCTCGAGCTTCCTCCTCCCTTCGTCGTTTCCCCTGCTTGCAGGTCCTCGCTGGTGGCTTTGTTCCCGATCCGAAGGCAGCAAGGGTCCTTGATGCAGCGGGGTTTGGGTTGTGTTCGGGGCTTGTTTGGGATCGGGAGTTTGCTGCTGCTCGTGCTGGTGAACTAGGTCTCGGTGCATTGGGTTAGGGTAAGGCTAAGGGTTAGGATACTGGTGGCAGTCGCAGTTGCCAGGGTCCGGTTGCGGTGCACGCAGGTGTCACTGGTCGTCGAGGGCTCCGATTGCAGTGTTCTGGGAGCGAAGGCCTCAGCATCTAGGGTTTCGGTTTATAAGGGATGACGGTTCGGGGATGGTTTCCGTGCTACTTTAGGACTTTAGGAACCTTTCCGGGTTGGGGTTGCAGGGCCAGGGCTGCGTGTGATTATATGTTCCAGATTCCAGATTCTGGACTCCAGATTCCTATCTGCTAGTCTAAATTTGTTAGGGAAACAAGCAGGATATCATCGCTAATCCTTAATCTTTGCTGCGCTCGTTTCTGTCTCGACCATCCACACACACCACCTGGCTGCTGTGGTGCCAGGTTGTGCCCTCCGACCATTTCCTGCAGCGCTGCCCCTCAGCATTCGCGGCATGGTGTGGGGTTCTTGTTCTGTCATGTGAGGTTATGATTAAGTCTGGGGTTTTGCGTATCGGGCGTCTTATCCAATGGAGGGTTGTCTTGATACAGTGGCAGCACACCCACACTCAGGAACAGTCAATGGGTTCTGGGAGTTCTGAAATTGTCGATTCTTCGATGGTTCTTGACATGTTCAACTTCCAGAAACTAGTAACTAGTAAACTAGTAACTACTAACTAGTGGGACTTGGAAATGACATGAAATAACGTCCTAGGTCCTAGCTTGAACATAATTGCTGATGCCCGGATTTTCGGGACCCGGCTTGGGGTTCAGGGCCTTCAGGTTCTCTGACATAAGCGTGGGAGACCTAATGAAATGTTGCAAGCGAAAGCCTGAAGTCAAAACAGCACGTTTGATGACTATGAGATGGATGAGAATGTGCTTGCCACCATACAACCCCAGGTTCGGGTTGGGATTGGCTCCAGTGCACTGTTATTATTACGATTGCTGCTCCTCCACTACAACTCTTATCTATACACCTACCCCTTTTGCTAATCCAATACCACTTCTATGCTCCTATTTCTAAGTATGGCACCTTTATAAGAAGGACCCTAAAAGGCCATGGAACATCGAAGAATCTTTGATGACACTTCTATCTGATCTACATGTCAAACTTCTGTGCTGCCAGATTGCTTTGCGGTGGAGCATCCGGACTTTGGAACGCTGCTGCCTTTGGTGATGGTCGCCACACCCTAAGTGTGGAGACGCAAGGGCCGAAAAGGGTTTTCATAAGACCAGCAGCCCAAGGGCCCAGGATTTCCGGTGTGTGCGGTGTGTTCCTTTTTTTTTGTGGTTTGGGAGTTTGGGGGGGGGGGTTCGACTCGATTCTTAATTTGAAGCTTCAGAATCTCCTTGCTCTGTCCGAAAGCAAGTTAGGTTGTCAGACCATTCTCCATAGATCCAGACCCACACATGAACACGGACTGCCATCTTAGCTGGTCCCCAGGTTCTGGCCGGCAGCCACAACCTGGCGATGTCCAAAAGTGGGGTTCAGGGTTAACAGGTCTAGGGATTGATGGCCAGCACACACTTCAAGTCTCGGTCCAGGGCCAGGGATTCCCGGAAGTATAGGTAATCTTTGTGATCGTGTCTCTGTGTGTGTGTGTGTGTGCGTGTCTACATGTACGTCCGTGTAGGTTTAGGTCTGTAACTATGTATGTATGTGTATACAATCAGAATAAGCCTTGGTTAATGCTTAACACAGTCTTCAATCTATGTTTTGGTGGGTGAACAAATAGCTTAGATGTTGCTTGGTCTTGCGGCTTTTGTGGTAAGCATCACTGAGTAGTGAGGCTTAGGGCTTAGGGCTTAGGGCTTAGGGCTTAGGGCTTAGGGCTTAGGTGGCTCAGGGACAGGGAGGGAACTAGTAGGGACAGCAATCAATGAATCAATAGTGCAGGGTCAGAGCTGTGTCGATGCCACAGCAATCCCATCGGGACAACACATACGATGACTGATACTAATGCTTAAATAGTTGGGTCGATCAAACTCACAGATTTCATATGAGGCAGAATTATACTCGCATTAGGGTTGGGGTTCGATGAAATACCAGACTCATGAGGTTTGCAGCTGGGCAACTGGAAATGCCTGGTGGTGAACTCGAAGTTGGTGAGACAGACGTGTCCGAGCAACAACAGCTCACAGGAGATCTGGATTTTGCGGCCACGAACAAGGCCAACAAAAAAAAACTTGCTATGTACGCTCAGGCCAGTCCCGGGTGCACGATTTACGTGATCCTGAAGATGGCGAAGCCACTCTTGCGGCTTTTGTGTGGGTTCATTTGGTTGAGCAGTGAACAGTTTGACATCTGCCAGGACACGGCAGCTGCTAGGAATGACCCTCGATCCTACAGAGTTGCTGAGGCTGCTCAGCAAACTTACTTGAGCAAGTTCAGGCAGCAAGTTGATCACCTCATGCAGACCGAGCATATGTTCCTGCCCTCCGGTGGCTGCACAGTGGCAATGCGTGCCTTAATGTTTCGACTGCTTTCACGCTGTTCCTGTGCTGTTCACCAATATCTGACTGTGTCACATCGGAATTGCCCATACCGTGTCTTCAAAGCATTGACTGGGCAAGCGCCGGAGGTTGAGGACACTCCAGTCTGCCTCCAAGATGAGCTGACCAAAGCAATCCTTGCAGATTTTCCGACTTACAACGAATTGCAATCGGAGGAGTGCCAACAAATACTTTCCTCCATTGCACATTCCTTCCAACTTGACATTCTCAACATCGAAGCTGCTCACGCTTCAACACGTCGTTTGATAACGTTGAGGTCGGTCCAAACCTGGGCCTTGTCAATGGAACAGCTCAACGCTGAGTGGGTATTGAGGAGTCTGGTCTCCTTGAGGGAACCTTTCATGCCTTCTGGCCTGGTGTCTGTGAACAATCAGATGATGAAGAAACGGAAGCGCCAGGAGGCTGTTGCAGGTCAGCCCGGGCCCAAGATGCCCAAGATTCGAAATGATGGCAAACAAAAAGTCGGACACGGCGGCACTTGGAGAGCTTTTGTGCATCGAAATTTGAAAGGCATCAAGTTCAATCAGGTTGGCCAAACCATCAAGAGGATGAGGCTGCGCTACCAGATGTTGAAGGCCAGCAGGGACACTGAGTGGTCGCTGTTGGAGCATCTCGGTTTGCTTGGGACTCTTGCTGGGCAGCAGGGAGCAATGCCATTTCCAGCATTGCCCAAAGGGCCCACACAGCAAATGCCAAACCCAGACATTCTTCAGGACGACTCTGGCTCTGGGGCTGTGGTACCTCTTGAAACAACTGGTGATGTGGTTCAGGCAGAACTGCGAGAACTTAAGCAGGAGTCTCGAGTGCAACGTTTGCTTGGTGAGACGGAACGTGAACAGATGGCAGCCGATGTTGTGGAGGCTTCCAAGATGCATCATGACCTGCTCAGTGCTCAGCAGGGTCAGTCTTCTGGCTTGGTTGGTGCCTTGGGCAGTGGGGCTTATCGCTGCCTGCCGGGTCACTTTGGTCAACCGGATGTGGCCTACTTCGCTGCGCCAGCGGATCTGCTGGTGAAGGCACTTGGAGTCACAGAGGCAGTAATAAGTAATATATCTAAGGAAGGTTTAGGGTTTAGGGTTTAGCTGGTAACCCGCTAACTGCTGCTAACTGGTAACCGGTAACCATTAGATTCATGAACTGTCAACTGTTAGCCGCTCTGTTAGCCACGATCCTTGGTTGCGGTTTTGAACGTTTCAAGTTTTGCAGCAGGTCTAGAAATGTGGTTCAAGACAGTGTGCACTCTCTGTCACACGTGTGCGTTGCAGCCTCCCGTGGCATAGCAGCATAGCCATAGTCACCGTACCCAAATGGATGTAGCGCTTCAGCACGGATTAACTGATTAGCTGCCGACTAGCACACAAAGCATTTAACTTAGACCTAGCCAAGGATAGCTATCGGGGCTATCGGATTCTTGATTCACTTACAGCAGTGCAGGAGATGTTCAGGAAGACTGTGTCGGATCGCAAAAAGTATGGCTACGGAATGTGGACCGCTTTGATGACTGAGTGGCAGTCACTCAATCGACTTGTTCGACATTCTGAACATGAACCTATACAGACCGGTGAAACTTCGAAGTCGATGTGCCTCGAACAGGGCACATGTATCTGCAACAGCTCTGTGTGGCATTACCACTGCAAGTTCATTGCTTTGATGTGCAAGCCCCACTTCCTGCCCAAACGTGAGCCCAGAAACCAATCGAAAGAACGAGCCGAGGGCCCAGAAACAGTACCAGGGCCAGCAGGTTCATCGGCCCCCTTGACAGGATCTGCACCGAGCCAACCCAAGCTCAAGAAGAAAGCTGTGAAAACACCCCACCGTATCTTAGCGGAGCAGGGCTTCTTGGTTCTTCGTGTCTCAGCTTGCAAGGGGAGGATCACACGGCATGCGGACAACTCTTGGGTGCAACTTGCAGCCCGAAGTGCAGGCCTTGCAGGCCACTCTGCCGAGCTTCCCGCTATCACAGATGGCCAGGTGACGGGTGTGGAGCAAGAGGAGGAGCAGCTGCAACAGTCTTTGTGGTACCACTTGGGGTTCATGAACTTCCGCACTTGGCAATGCACAGTCACACCCCTCAACTATTCGTATTCGGACGAAGAGGGTGTTCATTTGCTTGCGCAGGACCCTTTGGGCTGTTGCTTGCATTTGGATTTTGTGAAGCAGAATCAAGATCTCAAAGCAGCCTGGGTTGCTCAATATTATACCCTGCAAAGTACAGCAACACACTTGGCACCGGTGGACATGCTACCTGCCCATGTCACTGTGCGCAGCTACAAGGGGCTGCCCCCACTGAAAGTGTGGCTGGGTGAGGAAGCTGAGGCCCGAATGCGGCGCCAGCAGCGTGCCCGTGGAGGCCAGAGACGACAGGGTGTATCACAGGCATCACGTGATGCAGCCACTGGCCACAGTGGCCGTTCTCGAGGCTCGGCGTCTGGCAGAGCAGGAGCAGCTGTCTCAAATGCAACTGACAGGGTGTTTGAGGACGGGCCAAGTGCACTGCAACTTCCCTCTGGCGATGAGAACAGTGGGTCTGACAAAGATCATGACGTGGAAAATCGACTGATAGCTGAAGATCCAGCACCAATGGATGAAACTGCAGTGGGCCTTGAGCCTGATGATGTCCCTGACATTGAAGGGGGCCAGGCTTCGAGCTCATCAGCAGGCCCCGTGGAACCCAGAGGCCCGACTGACCCGAGTGGCCCGATTGCTGCAGCAGCTTCTGCTGGTGCTCGTGGGCGAGGTGGTGGAGTCGGTGGCGGTGAGAGGAGTGGCACCGAGGTCGTTTATGACCTGGGGCCAGGCCTTGGCAGTGTGCGGTACTATCCTGTCAGCAGCACTATGCAGGCATATTGCCCGCATCATGGATCAGATTGCAGAAAGACAAGAACAGTAAAGCCTGGTCGCCCAGAACACCAGGGCCGTCCACTCGGCTTTTTGCTGTCCTGGTTGAAGGATTGCGCTAATCATGAGACGAAGCAGCAGCATGTCCATGAGCATCGGAAATACACTCATGTTGTGAGGGCCGAAGCCAGAGAGGAGTTCATGCAAAGAGAAGGGGCAAGTGCATTTGCAGAATACGAGCGTGCTCGGCGTGACGATGAAGGCCCTGAACCATTGAGCTTCAGCTGATGGCTGGCATGAGGTAGCTTTCCGGCTAGGTAGCAGTGGGCAGCAGGGGCGCTCCTTGCTTCTGATGCTGTGATCTCGAAGTTGTCCCTCGGGTGCAAAAACAGGAGAAGCCACTTTTCACTATACTATAGTCACTAGATGTGTCCTTCTGAATGAATCTTGGCTGGACAACCCCACACCTCTAGTGGCTGCCGACTTGTTGTTTACTCATTGCCTTTGTGATTCGGTTTCTTGGTCTTACCAGGATTCAGAAGGTTCCCAGGTCCCGGTCCCAGTATCACTATCTGCACTATGTCACTATCACTATCGGTGAACTTCGGAGTTCCCTGTGGATGGGGTTGGAAGTTGTGAAGTCTCCCTAAACTTGACCCTATACCCTAAAGCCCTGAATCTGTGGAGCAAGTGTGGTGTGCTGCGATTGTGACAGCGGCCTGTGAACAGTCGGTCTACAACTGCAACTAAGGCAGACTATAAGAGTATTTTAGTATAGGGGCCCCCAATAATTTGAATAGACCCTTGGGCTGAATCCCAGTATTCTGGCCTGCAAGGCTGCGAGGCTCTAGGGTTTGGGGCTAATTATGAGTGGCTTAGGGCTTAGGGATTAGGGAATTGGGTTAAGGGTTCAGGGTTTGGGCGGGCGATTTACACGGCCTCAGAGCTTTGTTTCCGAGCTGTTGGCGTGTGCGCAGTTTGGATTTTATGGCTCGGGGTCTCGGCATGGATCAGATTTCTATTACTAAAGATATGTAGGTAGACATGCCCCAAAACCTTGTTCTTCTTATTCATGTGCCGTATAGTCAATCCTATCAAGCCTTCTAGTGATTCTAGTGATTCTAGTGATTCTAGTAACTAGTAATGAACTAAATACTGAGATGCATAGGCATAGTCTCCGGTCAGGTTGCCGTCATGCTTGGTGTTTCGCGTGCCTATAGGGTTCTAAGGCTCGAAGGCTTTGTGCAGCCCACACCAGGTCCATGTTCCAGGCTCCACACAGTCTTTGGGAACCTAGAGTCGGTCCGAGGTTCCAGGAGGAGAAGCTTTCATATCCCTCAAGTTCTGGCAGTAGTCTCAGCAGTGGTCACATTTTGCAGCTAGTCAGCCAGTGGTTCGATTAGCTCAGGGCTTGATGGCCTACTAGGGTCTAACAGTCCTAACATCAGCTGCCAGATAGATCCGTAGCAACACCTGTCGCTGCAGCTTTCCTGAAACATTCGGTTGGCAGGGTCTACATCAACTTCTTCCGCAAGGATGCGTACAGACCTGACGATGTACACCGTTTCAAGAAAATCATGAAGGCTACCTGTGGCTACCTCGTTGAATGTTGTTGAGGATAGCAGATAGCCGATAGTGGATGGATAGAGAGAGTTCGAGCCGCACACAGGGATAGGCAGGGGTGTTGTTTTCTGGCAGTTCAGAGAGTAACGTGGCTTGGTGCAACTGGACATGCTTCTCCATTTTGCAACTTTGCCACGGGTCATCAGCCGCAACAAAGCAAGGCCAGAATCATTTTTCCACAAAGTGTACTGTGCTGCTGGCCACTGCTACTACCCACTTTTTGTGTTGAGGTCCTTTGGAGAGTCAAAGAATGCCACCTTGCTGCAGGACCTGATCGATCGACAAGAAGCTCGTGGACCGGATTCTGTTTCGGACGTGCTTGCGGAGGTCGAGGAGCTCAACCTTCCTCGCTTTGAAGCTGAGATGGAGGCAATGGTTCAGGAGGCCTCCGCCTGTCAGGGTCGTGCCTGTTCCATTGACTCCGTTGTATGCTGCTTCGAGGTTTCTGTTGTTCTTGGTTTGTACGTAATGAAGCTACCCTCAGTCTGAGTCTCAGTCTCAGTCTTAAGTCTTAGGTTTAGCAGCTTAGCAGTCTCAGTAGCAGTTTAGCATGCAGCAGCAGCTTCGAATTCTGGCTGTAGGGCATGGCTTAGAGTCTTAGAGTCTTATGTTTGCAACAGTGCCGAAAGTCACTGTAGGTCAGTGTCAGACAGTAGACTGTAGTAGATTATGAACTGTTATCTCTTGCTTGCCAAGGCAACACAATTTAAGGATGCCGGCTGGGAGTTTCTGGGATTTGGGCCATTTCAGTTTGGGTTCAGCTGGCACAACCGATTCCAGGCCCAAGGCTTTAGACTAGAGTGTGGATGTACTTGCAAATTCGTTGTCAAGTAACTAGTAACTAAACTTCAGCTAGATTTGAGATTCCGAATACCTGCTCACAGCTGGGGTTGAGTGTGTCTTGCAGCATGGCAACTGTCTGCCTTATGCCTAGTGACCCGTTGCCGGGTCGATGTTGTGACGCACATGCGGGGGGCCCAACAATCTTGAAGATATATGGGTGAGGTCTTTTCTGTCATATTTTATGTGTTATGTCTTGTCTTGTGTCATCGTTGCAGATGTTTGACTTTGCATGCCTACCCGCATGCACTGCTGTAAGTGCCCAGATGCTGCTATCCACTATGGCACTATGGCTATGTCACACAGTTACGAAGTTTTAAATTACATCTTCTTCGTATGAAACCATTCTGCTATTCTGCTCGTCTTTGGTGTCATGTTTGGGATACGGAGACGATCAACATTTGTCGCTTTGCAAGCTTGCCACATTTATTGTCATGGTAAGCGTGAAATCCCTTGCCAACAACACCAAAACAACACCAATTTCGTACCCTGATGCAGAGTGGAACAATAACTCCTGGTCCTGGTTTTTGGGGACTGGAGAGGGGCGCTCTGGGTGGGGAACCGGAGAGGCCAGGGTGGTGGTTGGGGGGGGGGGGTGGGGAGGGAGGGGGGAGGGGGGGGTTGGGGGGGGCAGGGGGGGGGGGTTGGGGCGGCGGGGAGGGGGGTGGGGTCGGGGACCTCTAATTTTCAATTTTTTGCACTTTCCCCTTGTAATTTATGGAAAATTTATGAAAAATTTATGGTTTTTTTATGGAAAATTTACGCCCTCTCCACCCTCTGCTCTGGATAGGGCCGGATAGGGCCCGTGGGTGGGTCTGGGAGGCCTGGGCCCCGTCCCAGCGCCTGGTGGGCCCAATTTCAGTCTCTCTAACGCTCCAAACACTCCCATAATTGGAAACAATGCAACCAAAGAAAGCCAACTTTGCCCTGTGCAGGCTCGACAGCCATCTGCCGAGAAGTCCCAGGACGTCGACGAGCAGTGGAGAGTGCAGATTGCTGACTGGCGACACCAGCTGGGCATTTCAAGCAAGTACAATCCATTTGATCGTTTGAAGCTCAAGATCCAAGGCC